TGGCTGAAGTCGGACGCTTAACCGACTGCGCCACCCAGGCGCCCCTCGCTCACTCTCTTTCTAATCGAATGAATGAAGGAATGAAGGAATGAATGAATGAATAAATAAATAAATAAATAACTCGACATGTAAAACATCCCTGATCCAGTGCCTCATCAAGTTAATCAATGAAATGATATTAGCTTTCTACAATTTCACACAAATTAAATACAGGCCTGCTTTCCAACTGGGACGGTGGATTTACTGTCAGGCTCTCTATCGAATTAACATGTATGTTTAAATTGAGCCCTTCTAGAGGATACAGTATACGCATGCTACTGGCATTCATTGATTAGAGCCTGGAAGGGATAAGCTGGCTTGAGAGTCATGGGCCTCGCAATTATAACGTCCTTGCTTTTTTTTTTTTTTTTTTAATTTTTTAACGTTTATTTATTTTTGGGATAGAGAGGGACAGAGCATGAATGGGGGAGGGGCAGAGAGAGAGGGAGACGCAGAATCGGAAACAGGCTCCAGGCTCTGAGCTGTCAGCCCAGAGCCTGACGCGGGGCTCGAACTCACTGACCGCGAGATCGTGACCTGGCTGAAGTTGGACGCTTAACCGACTGCGCCACCCAGGCGCCCCTAACGTTTATTTATTTTTTACAGAGAGAGACAGAGCATGAACGGGGGAGGGGCAGAGAGAGAGGGAGACACAGCATCCGAAGCAGGCTCCAGGCTCTGAGCGGTCAGCCCAGAGCCCGACGCGGGGCTCGAACTCACGGACCGCGAGATCGTGACCTGAGCCGAAGTCGGACGCTCCACCGACTGAGCCACCCAGGCGCCCCACATCCTTGCTTTTAAGATGATGCAAAGATATTATTAGTGTTACACAGCCTGGAAGGCAGTGACCACCGTCCAGAGGGAAATAGAGACAGAAACAGGGAGGTGGAGGAAGAAAACGTCCATCAGCCTCCTGGGCTACGTTCTGCCCCAGATTAGGCATGTCTCTTCATGCACACGGAGTCACCAGCACATTTGTAAATAATCGTAAAAATGTCCAGGGAAGCAGACTTCATTTTTAGCAGCCTAAATTGCCAGTCCCGACACCAAGCTCCGTGAAGGATTGATTACAGGGCATATGAGCTGGGCAGTGTTTCCCCACAAAGTCAGACGGACAAGGTGAGTGCACATTTCACAAGGCACCGATTCTCTGTGTCAAAGACGTGCTAAATGGGTCACAGAACTAATGTGAGGATACAACCAAGTTATGAGATCAGGCTCAGGGTACGGATGATTCATGTCCTAAGAAGGGTGGTGAACATCAGAGTTTTAAAATCTGTTTTTAATTTGTATTGCCTCACGAAATTATTGGGTGATGTTACACAAGATCTTTCACTTCTCAGTGTCCATTTCCCTCAAGAGAAATGAGAATAATGGGCATGGAACAAGAAAAGTTTTTTTCCAGTTTTTATAGCTTGAAGAAGCTAAAAGATTATATAGTCTAAATTGTTTGTGTTTCAGATGAGGAAACCGAAGCCCAGAGAAGTCAAGTGACTTGTCTAAAGGCACACAGCCTCTTAACAGGGCAGAACACAGGGAACCTGATTTACGGATCCCGTCCGTGCTCTTGCCACAGAATTGCGTACTTTTTTACAGACGGCTTTCAAATACCTAGATGAAAGTTCCCACGTTGTCAAACCAACGTGACTACATCTGAAAAGTATGAATCAAATTTCTGAGCGATTTCTTTCCGTATCTGATGCTGCTTACAGCTTGGGCTGGTTGCCCCGTTGGTTCCTTGAGCAGAAACGTTTCTGAAAAGTAGTAGTTTGAATGCTAACTCGAAATGCCGGCCTCTTCAGTTTCTGGAAGCGAGTCTGGGGAACCGGATCACATAGAAGGGCGCCTACACTCATTGCCTGACATCCTTCCCTACCTTGTGCTGGGGCTGTTCTGGTGAAGGCCTTTTCAGAAACATACCTGCTGACTTTCATAAATCAAACGCATGGCTCTGGGGGCCACAAAAGGTGTGGTAGTGTGTGGAAACAACATGAGGCTTTGGAGTGAGCTAGACCTGGGTTTGAGGTCTAATTCTTTCCAGGTTGATTCAGCAAATATTTAGGTAGGGCCTCTTATGTGCCGAGCCCTGTGCTGAATGACCTTGGGTGGGTCATTTAACTCCCCTAAGCCTCGATTTCCTCTCCTGTTAAATTAAGACAATGAACCCTTCCTTTTAGCATTGTTCTGAGGATTAGGGACATGGTCTAAAAATGAGTTCACACCTAGAAGGGACCAATAAAATGGTGGCTGCTACCATTTTTATTGGAAGCTGGACTGCAAGTATTCTAGAGATGGGCAACATATTATTACTGTCTTGACAAACAGGACCCCAAACAGAAGGTACAGAGACCGGTGGACAGTTAAAACACAGACACAGAAACTAGAGGGAGAAGAGAGAAAAGTCCTGAGCAAATATCTTCTTTATCATCTCTGAGGTAAACCTTCAAGTAATTAAAAATGTGCGTGTGGGTGTGCACGCACACGCGAGCCTATACACACACCCTATATTCTTTATTATTTGCTTTCTTAGAATCCTAAAATGTTAGAAGTGAAAGGAATTTAAACGTCCTCTCATTCAGCGTTCTTGTTTACAAAGGAGGAACAGGCTGAGGGGCAAAGGGGCCTGACGAGGCCCCCCACGTGGCCAAAGGTAACTGAGATGTTGACTCCTTCAAAAGAATGTTATTCTACAGATCTTGGTTAAATGAGTAAAGGAATGAAGATTTTAAAGACTAAGGATGTCTGTGAGGTGCTTCGGCCCCCTGCTGGTGAGAGAGGAGACCGTCAGACCCTTGAACCTTTAGCCAATGCAACCCCAAGCTACTTGAGGACCCACGAGGAGTCCGGGGAGCCATGCAGAATCTTCCAGATCAACGAGGAAAAGAGAAACAAATATGTGGAGAAACGGGGCGGGAGGGGATACAGCAACAGAAACAACACACTGTTAAAGGAAGTTTGAAAAAAGGGGGGGTCTTTATCACAAAGGTGGTTTTAAGTTTATTCGACCCTTTTATTTTTCCTTTTATGTTATTTGAAGAAAGGTTTGTTATTTCCTCTCCTGTCATAAAGAGTGAACGGGACCAGAGGGAGAGAAAAGGATTTTTACCTTTTACTTCATATACCTGGGATTCTTGAATTTTATACTTTTTTTTTTCAAAGTTTATTTATTTTTGGGACAGAGAGAGACAGAGCATGAACGGGGGAGGGGCAAAGAGAGAGAGGGAGACACAGAATCGGAAACAGGCTCCAGGCTCTGAGCCATCAGCCCAGAGCCTGACGCGGGGCTCGAACTCACGGACCCCGAGATCGTGACCTGGCTGAAGTCGGACGCTTAACCGACTGCGCCACCCAGGCGCCCCTGAATTTTATACTTTTATAATAAATTTTAAAATACATTTCTTCTTGGGAACGCAAGCTGGTGCAGCCACTCTGGAAGAGAGTATGGAGGTTCCTCAAAACACTAAAAATGGAACTACCCTACGACCCAGCAATGGCACTACTAGGCATTGATCCATGGGATACGGGTGTGCTGTTTCCGAGGGACACATGCACCCCTGTGTTTATAGCAGCACTATCAACAATAGCCAAAGTATGGAAAGAGCCCAAATGTCCATCGACGGATGAATGGATAAAGAAGATGTGGGATATATACACGATGGAGTATTACTCGGCAATCAAAAAGAATGAAATCTTGCCATTTGCAGCTATGTGGATGGAACTGGAGGGTATTATGCTAAGTGAAATTAGTCAGAGAAAGACAAAAATCATATGGCTTCACTCATATGAGGACTTTAAGAGACAAAACAGATGAACATAAGGGAAGGGAAACAAAAATAATGTAAAAACAGGGAGGGGGACAAAACAGAAGAGACTTTTAAATATAGAGAACAGAGGGTTGCTGGAGGGGTTGTGGGAGGGGGGATGGGCTAAATGGCTAAGGGGCACTAAGGAATCTACTCCTGAAATCATTGTTGCACTATGTGCTAACTAATTTGGATGTAAATAAAAATAAATAAATAAATAAAACAAGTTAAAAAAAATAAATAATGAAAATAAAATAAAATACATTTCTTCTTTAAAAAAATGTTTGGGGTACAATATGGCACCATGAGTCCAGACGCAATCGTTCTCCCTGAAGCTAATAACTTCCCAACTCTTTCTTAACCTTCCCGCACACTGGGAGAGGAGGCTATTGGCTCCTTGGGTGACACTGCCCTCTATTGGTCATAGGGACAACTGCACCAGCCTGGCTCACACACACCCGTCCCGAGGCTCAAACCCAGATTAAATGCAGAGTTTCTAGGACGATGTTATTACCTTTTTATAATAAAATCTTTTGGCTTGACTATTGAATCCCTTTTTTTCTGATTCTGGAATTGTTGAAGTCTGGTTCTTAAAAGGAATGGAGGAGGATTGTGCTGGATGTGCAGCAGTAAAACCTGAACAACAAAAGCGAAGTAAAAATTAGCACGAAGAATTGACAAAGGCAGGAAACGAAGAGCATTTTAAAGTGTTATTTTATTTTCAATATTTTTACTTTTATTTTTTTAGAGAGCTACAGAGAGAGAGCACACGAGCAAGGGAGGGGGACAGAGGGAGGGAGAGGGTCTCAAGCGGGCTCCACGCTCAGCAAGGAGCCTGACACTGAGCTCGATCCCATGACCCTGGAATCATGACCTGAGCCTAAATCAAGAATGGGACGCTCAATTTACTGAGCCACCCAGGCGTCCCTAGATTTTATTTTCTTCCTTTATTTTTTAAATGTTTATTTTTGAGAGAGAGCACAAGCAGAGGAGGGACGGGCCGGTGGGGGAGGGGGGGCGGACAGAGGATGTGAAGTAGGCTCTGTGCCAACAGCAGCAAGCCTGGTGCAGGGCTCGAACTCACCAACCATGAGATCATGACCTGAGCTGAAGTTGGAGGCTCAACCCTTTGAGCCGTCCCGGTGCCCCACCCCCCCCCCCCCACCCCAAGATTTTATTTTTAGGTAATCTCCACACTCAACGTGGGGCTCACACTCACAACCCTGAGATCAACAGTCTCACCCTCCACCAACTGAGCCAGCCAGGCACTCCTTAAAGTTTTATTTTATTTTATTTTTTAATTTTTTTTAACATTTATTTATTTTTGAGACAGAGAGAGACAGAGCATGAACGGGGGAGGGTCAGAGAGAGAGGGAGACACAGAATCTGAAACAGGCTCCGGGCTCTGAGCGGTCAGCACAGAGCCCGACGTGGGGCTCGAACCCACGGACCGCGAGATCATGACCTGAGCCGAAGTCAGACGCTTAACCGACTGAGCCACCCAGGCGCCCCCTTAAAGTGTTATCTTAAATGGAATAGGAGAAAAACTTGCCTTTTGATAGGAGGTAAACATGAAACTTTTTTTTTTTTTAATATTCTCTTTACTTTTTTTTCCCTCTTGGTAATCTGGCATTTCCCCACCCCAGGGCAACTAAACTAGTGAGATTTGGTCACATCGCTGAAGCATCATTTATAGAAAATCAACTTAAAATTGTGGATGTCCGGGTTGTGACATACAAATGATATACAAATTCCCCGCTCTCCTCCGCCCGGCCCCACGTGTGGGAGAATGTCTCACATGAGAGACAACTGTCAAGGCTCCACGAGGGGCATCTCTCTGCACGGCAGACCAATTCCAAACTCCAACCCGTGAGGGTGATAGAATCTGACTCCGTTTTCGATGTGGGGCTGACTGCTCACAGCTTGTAAGCCTCAGCCCCCGGCTTCCCCTTCTGAGCCACATTGGGTAAACTGAGGAGAAGGCCTGGAGGCTCTCCCCTTTGGTGCCAGCCAGAAGTTCAAACCATACCAACCCTTGCCCTCACTCCAGCCCTACCAACTAACCGCAACAAAACCCCAAACGTGGCTCTCTCCTCTGGTTCTCTCGAGCCATTTTGGGGCCAGATTAGGAAGCCGACCCTGCTCTCCCCAGAAAACCTCACGATGTGAGGAATACCCCTCTTCGTGTCCCCTTGGTGCGGCATCACCAATCTTGACTTTCAAGCCAAATTTTGGATGGGGGTCCACCCTGACTCTGCAGGATGCGCACAACATGTCTCAACATCCAAGTCCGAACCCTCGTAGAGGAAATGTGTGCCAGAGTCGGAAAAAGCCAGGAGACGAAGGGAGGAGGGATGCGTTAAGAGTGGGGGTGCGGTTGCACAGGAGCTGGCTTCGAGGCCCGTTTCTTAGTCTCCAAATTTTTGAAAACACAAAACTGGTTTTCAGACTCAGACACCCAATGCCAACAGGGACCCCTCAGGAGGTGCTGTGACAGATGAGGAAACTGAGGCTTAGACAGATGACGTCACTCGCCCTTAAGTGAAACACCCGGCTGGGGTTTGAACACAGTTGGTCTAATGAGCCGAGGCTCTTAAGGTCCAAGCTGCACCTCCTCGTTCTGAGTCTGGCCCATAGTCAGCTCCCCACACACCAGTGGGTGGAATAATGAGGGGCGATCTAGCCCAATGTGCTCGGCTTGAGGGTGAAGCAAATAAAAGCCGAAGAAATGTCTGGTTAGAAAACATCTGAGAGAAATCTACGATGTATTTATGATTTTCTTCCCTTCTCTCCCCACCCCCATTTAGCAGGTGGATGGCTATGTAATTTTCTTTTAGCGAACTAGACAGCAAATCAGAAAACAGCGGACGCAAGGCTTCCTAGCTTTTGTTTCTAAAAGTCCATGGAGCTGGGGCGCCTGGGTGGCGCAGTCGGTTAAGCGTCCGACTTTAGCCAGGTCACGATCTCGCGGTCCGTGAGTTCGAGCCCCGCGTCGGGCTCTGGGCTGATGGCTCAGAGCCTGGAGCCTGTTTCCGATTCTGTGTCTCCCTCTCTCTCTGCCCCTCGCCCGTTCATGCTCTGTCTCTCTCTGTCCCAAAAATAAATAAACGTTGAAAAAAAAAATTAAAAAATAAAAAAAATAAAATAAAAGTCCATGGAGCGATTTAAAGAGTTTGCAGAGAAGGCAGCAAAGAAAGGGGGATTCTTTTCTTTCCTTTCCTTTCCTTTTCTTTTCTCCTTCCTTCCTTCCTTCCTTCCTTCCTCTCTCTCTCTCTCTCTCTCTCTCTCTCTTTCTTCCTTGGTAAAAGGAAGGACATTTCCCCCAGGGGAAGGAAAAAACCGTCCTGACTAAAAAAAAGATCACTTTCAGGGTGCCCGGGTGGCTCAGTCGGTTAACTGTTGACTTTGGATTTTGGCTCGGGTCATGATCTCACGGTTCATGGGATCAAGCCCCACAGCGGGCTCTGTGCTGACAAGCATGGCGCCTGCTTGGGATTCTCTCTCCCTCCCTCTGCCCCTCCCCGCCCCCTCAAAATAAATAAACAAACGTTAAAAAATAAAATAAAAAGATCACTTTCACTTCTGGCTGTGGTAGAACCTCCTGCATGAAAACAACCCTCTTGAGAATAACCAGAAAAATGAGGTTTTTATTTTTTTTATTTTTATTTATTTATTTTTGAGCGAGAGAGAGAGAGAGAGAGACAGAGAGATGGAGGAAGAACAAATGGGGGAAGGGCAGAGAGAAAGGGGGGACAGAGGATTTGAAGCAGGTTCCGCGGGGACAGCACAGAGCCTGAGGTGGGGCTCGAACCCACAAACCGCGAAATCGTGATTTGAGCCAAAGGCAGCTGCTTAACTGACTGAGCCGTCCAGGTGCCCCAAAAAATAAAGTTTTTAAAAAAAACACTCTGGATAATTTGACCTTCCATTTCCAACCAAGATGGGGCTGGCTTTGCCCTCTGAGCTAGGGAAACAAAAGTTAAACATGGACAAAATATATCAAACGATGGTTTTCAAGACACCGGACACGAAGCAACAGAGGATGGGGCTGCCCCGAGAAATGGGAAGCAAATGAGAGAGCAGTGGGATTGCCCCCAGCTTACTGCCTGGAGAACTTTCCAGGCCACAGCACAGGATGGAGGAATCCAGGGAGAGCCTGGCTGCCTTCTTGAGTTGAGTAAATGAATCCGAAAGCCCAGAAAGACCAGGTGGCTAGGGCTGCCAGAGCAGAGAATCCAAGAAGAGAGCTCCCCAGATAAAGAACTCTGGAGCTCAGCACTGGGTTTCCCCTCAGGTACCTTTCTAAGTATTGCTCGGGATACACATGCGAGAAAACTACCCAAAGCTGGGGAAAGAATCAGCCGAAAGATGAATACCTGAACAGCAGTACAGGAATAGCTTACACCAAACCAGGAGACCCTCCTGTTCCCACGCATCAGAGGGAAAAGCTTTATAATACGGAGGACATAGAGTATGCAGAGTTTTGCTTCCGAAATAGAGCAAAATTACCCCTAGACTTAAGGCGGCTCGGGTCCCAGCTAACACTCAACAGCAAGACTTGAAAAACTCCAACTGTTTCCAAGTAATTTAACTGTATCCCAGAACAAAGCATAAGAATTTACAGGACTGGAAAAGGATCCAGCACCCAACAGGTACAATGAAAAATATATAGTGTTCAGTTAAGAATTAATAGGCATGTAAAGGGGCGCCTGGGTGGCGCAGTCGGTTAAGCGTCCGACTTCAGCCAGGTCACGATCTCGCGGTCCGTGAGTTCGAGCCCCGCGTCAGGCTCTGGGCTGATGGCTCAGAGCCTGGAGCCTGTTTCCGATTCTGTGTCTCCCTCTCTCTGCCCCTCCCCTGTTCATGCTCTGTCTCTCTCTGTCCCAAAAATAAATAAATGTTGAAAAAAAATTAAAAAAAAAAAAAAAGAATTAATAGGCATGTAAAGAA